GGACTGGGGGAGCTGAAAGGGCTTTGCCAACCTCAACGATTCTGTGAATCTAAGGTTTGTCAGGAGAGGGAGAGGGAGTATCTTTGGGGGTTGGCCTAGATGACCTCTAGGGGTCCCTTCCAACCCGAAACATCCTGTGATTCTTGGATGCGGTATTGCCTTGCCTATGGCCTCCTCATTTCTGGGACCATGTAGCAGTTGGACATTTTTCAAGCATGTTGTTCCAGAAGCGTGCCTGCCTTCCGCAGAGGTGTCTTAGGGACTCGTACTGCACAGTGTGCAGTAAAATGCAGTTAGGCTTGAGCGTTACTGCGGGATCGGTCCACAGGGTGTGGGAATCATTTGGGATTCCAGGCGAGTATATAGAGCTTTGTATTTCAACCTTACGTGGTTTTGCCTTGCGGAAGGATGAACCGACTCGAGCTGTCCCGGCCGGCCAGCGTTGCCATTCCCTCCCTTTCCTGCTCGGCTGGCTGGCGAGGCGGCGCCCCGAGTCACCCTCCATGGCCCCCGCTCTGCCCAAGGCCGCCGTGTTTTGCTGCTGCTAAATTGGGAAGGCAAGTTGTTCCTGCTTGGGATTCCCAGAGCTTTCACTATCAATACAGCAGTAATGAACACATTGTTCAGGTCACGTCGGGTCGCGCTCGTGCTTCCTGCGTGGTGGTGTCCTGGCTCGGCAGCAGTTACGCTCGCCTTGGCTCGTGATCCTGTCCGCCTCCGCGCGTTGGGGTCAGCCCTTCGCCCGTTGGCGTTACGGCGCAGTCCAGTCTGCTTCGACGGCGCAACCACCCCTCCCGTTTGCCTTGCAGACGAACCCAAACAGCCCTGGTTTCACATGGCTTTGGAGAAGGGTTCAACAAGGTAATGGCCACCCCCTATTAATTAGCCACTTACACCCAACCTAGGCCTAACGAAGAGAGGAAGGTCTGCCAACTTCCCACCATGGCATCTTTCCATTTGTGTGTGTTATAGAGGTGCCAGCGCACCGAACAGATCATTTGCAGTAAAGAGATGATTTTCCAGCTGTATTTTTTTTTATGGCTGCTTGTCTTAAACATCCGTTTGAATCGAGGTTAAAGCACACCACGAAGTGGGGACGTATGCCACGCCATCCATCCCTGCGCGTGGCCGCTCTGCAGCGACCTTCTTCAGCCTGCGCCCACCGTCCTTGTTCTCTGGGGCTTGCAGAGCCTGGACCTTGCAGGTCTTGCTTCCCGTGCACTGCACGCACGTCAGGAGTTGCGACTTCCTTCCTACTGTATTTATCTTCCTCTTAATCACGGCTTGCAAATGCTGCTGGGGAGCTGAAGGGCGGCAGCGAGAGGCAGAACGCCTCGCTCCCGCCTTTCTGCGGCTCTGCGGAGGGGGGGTGCGGCGGCGCGGACAGGGCCGTTACCCGTGTAGCTGCATTTAATGTATAGGTGAAGAGAAAACGTTTTTCCCTTTGGGGTCTTGCACGTGCTGTGACGCAGCGTCTCGGTCAGTGCTCCCGACAGCAGAACGTCCTCCAGGCAGTCGTGGGCAATAGCGCGTGTCCTTCACACTTCTTGGGAACAGCTTTGGGTTTTTTCTAAGCTGGCCTAAAGCTTGTTAGCATGAACGGACCTTTCACATAAGTCTAGTGCAAACTCAGGTAAATATCTTTATAATACGCTGTAGCTGAAAGTCTTTAGAAGATGGTGATGCTACCTGGGTTTTTTAAGCCTTTGGCTTGTCATAGCTTTTTTAATTTTGATATTGAAAGGAGGTGGCAAAATCTAAGGTCTCTAAACTGTAAGCGAAACATCAGAATATGTAGATTAATACACAAATTGCCTTAGAAAATTACTATGAATATTGGGAAGTATCATAGGAAAAATATCACGCGTATTTTTGGCTTCTCTAAGTTGCATTTTGCTTGTTGCCTGAGATGAACTCTCTGCCTCTTTCCTTCTAGGACTGTCCTTTCATAGTCTGCATGACCTACGCCTTCCACACCCCGGACAAGCTCTGCTTCATTCTGGACCTGATGAATGGTAAGCAAGGCTCCTGCAGGTCCTGGTAATATTAGAGAAATATTGGCAGGGGGACTTGCTGAGGTCAAAAGGAGAGCGAGGGAAAACCAAAGCATTGGCCTGCGAGCAGGAGGGGTGTAAAGCAGGGAGTGCACAGAACGTATGGAACAGACTGAGGAATCTCTGATCCCTTAGAGCATTAACATATCTAAATAAAGATACCAAAGGGCCTGCTAGGCTGGAAGCTTAAGGAAATGATGGTCACGTGGAGAAATGTATGAGGAGGCCGGGGGGACACCATTCAGAATAAAAAGAAAAGGGCCACTACAAAGAGCTCTGCAAAGAAAAGGGGTGGGGGAAGCATTCTGCAGAGGCAAGGAATTCCACCTGGAAGCCTTGGCGTAACTGTTAGGAGAACACAGAGAGAGGGGAATGGGCAGAGTTGAGGGAGGGAAGTTGCTGCCGTGCCCCTCTGTGCTGAGGATGCTCAGCACCCCTGGGGCTCGGGCTCGAACCCTGACTGCGGTCCTGCGGGGAGCACCAAAGGTGCTGGGGCGCATCCGCGCCTGCCCTGTCGCAAAGCTGGAAGTTTAATTGCGAGACAGAGCTCGTATCCCATAGGTCATGGAGACTGGCTTTGGTGCCTTGCAAGCGAAGATTCTCGTTAAAATCTAAGCTGTAAGTCAAAGCCAAGTAACTGCTTGATTATTTTAAATCCATAGCTTAGTTGGAAACGGTTTTCTGGGAATATTCCCCATTTGATGTTTTGATGGTTGGATTAGCTCACAGAGTGGCACTGTGTTGTGCCTGTCCTTTCGTTAGGAAAGCATTGAAGACATCCCCAGGATGGATATTTAAGTATTTTGGCCCAGGTGACCTTTTGAGGGCCACCCCACCCGGGGCTGTTCCGTACGCGGGTTTCTGCAGCTCTCCAGCGGCCTGTGCGCGTCGCTGCGTTTCGCTTGCTGGGGAAATCCTTTGCATTAAGACTCGGTTGCTGGATTGGTCACTGGGTGCGAATGTGTATGAAGCAAATGCGTTTTCAAAACGGAGTTTTGGATCCATGAGATTTATTTATTATGAGCTTTCTCGGGTGTTTTGCCACCATGCACTTGCAGGGTGTGCGCCTGGGTTCCTGCATGCTCCGCAGGCTGTAAGAACCTGCAGACGCTGTGCTCTTCCCCCCTCCACCGTGCTGTCTGCCTCCGAGGCAGGATTTTGCTGTTCTTTTAATTGCATCTCAATTCTTCTGATTTTAGGAGGAGATCTGCACTACCACCTCTCCCAACACGGCGTGTTTTCGGAAAAAGAAATGAGGTTTTATGCTACTGAAATCATCCTGGGTTTAGAACACATGCACAACCGCTTTGTAGTATACCGAGACCTAAAGGTAATGGCTAACGTCACGGGCGTTGTCAGATAGCAGCAAACGGCCAGAGACACCGATACGCTAATGAAGTGGCTTACCTGAAGCCTTGTCTTGGGAAGAATACAGCTCATTTGCTTATCTTTGGCTGATTTTTTCTGGTAATTTTTCAGCACAGTTGCAATCTGTGCTGTTGATCGAGAGTAAGCGGGAGATGCTTCCCTGGGGTCAGGATTCAGCCTGGAGAAGAGAAGGCTGCGGGCAGAGCTGAGTGCGGCCGGTCAGGGCTTCAAGGGGGCCCAGAGGAAAGGGGGGGACAAGCTTTTTAGTAGGGCCAGCTGGGACAGGACAAGGGGGGATGGCTTTAAACTGAAGCAGGGGAGGTTTAGACTGGATCTAAGGAAGAAATTCTTTACATGAGGGTGGTGAAACCCTGGCAGGGGTTGCCCAGAGAGGGGGTGGAGGCCCCATCCCTGGGAACATTCCAGGCCAGGTTGGCCGGGGCTGTGAGCAACCTGATGTGGTTCAAGGTGTCCCTGCTCCTGCAGGGGGGTTGGGCTGGGTGACCTCTGGGGGTCCCTTCCCACCCAAAACCTTCTGTGATTCTATGATAAACCCTGCGCAGTGCTATTCCACCTCGCCTGCCCCCTCAGTGATGCTGTTGATTTAGAGGGTGCCCTGTGTTACGGAGAGCCCTGAGAGAGGGGTGCGTGTGATGGGACGCCAAGAGGAACAGAAGTTGCTCAGGGTGTTTTGCTGGCAATCAGGAGGTCGAGGAGTGCTCCGAGAGAGGTGTCTGTGAGCCAGGTGACAACAAAAGCGTGGAAAATTCTGCAGAGAGAGCTCAGGGTGTGAGTAAAGGATGCAAGAGCCGCACGCAGACCCTTCTGCAAAAGAACCAAAGGAACCGAAAGCAACGTGGACTTGAGGCCAAGATGGATTTATTCTGTCCTGAGCTTTTGGTTTCAAATCTTGCCCTGTTTTTTCTCTTCTGTTCCGTGTCGGTATTTCATAACCTTCCCCGGAGCTGAGGGTAGTGCTCCATTAGAATGTAGATTTTATCTAGAAAGTGTCTGTTATATTGAAGTGGAAGAAAAAAAAAGGCAATTACCTGTTACCAGAGAGTATTGATGTTTGAGTGACTGCGTTCTGAGAATGCGTAGTTCTGTCAACTGAAAAATACCAAGCAGTAACCTTCCTGTGTGCATTCCTAGCCGGCAAATATCTTGTTGGATGAGCACGGGCACGTGAGGATATCTGACCTCGGGCTGGCTTGTGATTTCTCCAAAAAGAAGCCACACGCTAGTGTGTAAGTATTACTTACGGTAGCTGTGCCGCACGTAGAATTACTGCGAAATAAGTCCTTTATGTGTCTTTATAATTTAACTTTGCCTAAGGGAAAAAAGATAACGCTTGGGTGGCACGGGCTAAGCTAGCCCAGCTGAGCCGGACACTCCGGTGAGGTTTTTCAGTCTCCTCTCTGTTTTCCTGCACTGTTGTAGCAGCTGATGTGTAGGCATGGCTGGAAGATGACACATGATTTCGAGATGATTCACTGTTCGGAGGAGATAAGAACCTGACTTGAGTTAAAGAACCAGATTGTTTTAATTGTCCTACATGGATAATTAAATATTCCGAAATGGACTGAAAAACAGGATTTATTGTGTCTCTCTGGATCGTTGTAGAACTGGAGGCAAATTGTGTTCCTATCATCTGCCTCTTGGCATCAGGTCGTAACTGGGATCTGAGCTGGGTTGTGTGTGGATTCCGCATCTCATCTGGCACATTTTATTCTTAGGTCCTCATTTGCCCTGATTTAGAATTTATGCAAAAAGGAAAGCTTCATCCTGCCGTATCTTAAAAGATTTGCAATTCAGTAGCTCCTTGAAAAAGTTCATACGTTCCAATTACGTCAAGGGTGAAAGCCGTACGTGGCGACCGCTTCCTGGAGGTGACCAGCGATGTCTGGGGGAGGAGGCGTCCTGGTGTTAAACCTCGCGCGCGGGTGTTTGCTGGAAGGAAGGACGTGAGATGCGCCGGGCGTAGGAGCAGCTCTCGATTTTGCAGGGTCTGGGGCTGGGGCGATGTGGCCCGAAATCTCGGGAGCCCTGACTGTGCCCTGTTGTCCGTCTGTCCCGTAAACCGAGCAGACAGAGCACGCAACTTTCCCACTTCTCTCTTGTGTTCCACTTAGACCCGAGGCTGCTTACTGGCCCCTGCACTGATTCTGCCAAATCTTGCCGTAGCTGCTTCATTTTGCCTCACCATTTCTGTGGCTCTGTCGGTTGTTCTAAGGTATTTCCTCAGTGGATGTATACAAACAGGAAACACAAGTACGGATGTATGGTCAAAATAAAACCAAGTTTAAAATTCTTTTTAAATTAGGCTATCTTATTGAGAAAACCGATTTTTTTAAATGTTTTTTCTTTAAATGTAAATGTATTTATTTATTTCCCTAATGATAGTTTTGTGGTCATCGAGATTTTGTCCCTTTCCGCTTTGCAGAGGTACCCATGGATACATGGCTCCGGAGGTGCTCCAGAAGGGAACAGCGTACGATAGCAGTGCGGACTGGTTCTCCTTAGGCTGCATGCTTTTCAAACTTCTGAGAGGGTGAGTGAAGTCAAACGTCCCGTCTGCTTTTTTTCTTTCCTTTTTTTTTTTAGCCTGGGCCTCACCATTGCCCGTCCCCTGAAATATTAATATGTAACATATTACATATTATCTAAAACTATTATCTTGCTGCCATCTCTGCAGCTTAGACCACGTCTGCCTGTGAGCCTAAACCAGGCTTTTTTTGCTTCCAAAGCAAACCAAACACAAGCCCTGCTTCCCTTAGTGGGTACAGGTGTGGGGCGGTGGGGCAGGCAGATGCTCTGCCTGCTCTTTTGACTTCTGCTGGTGGGCAATGCACTCATCTCTTGGCACTTATTAGTATTTTAAACGATACGAAGTTATTTGTTGCTCAAATATGCTAGCAGCCCTGTTAAATTACAGACTTCATGCTTAAGCCCTGCTGTTACGGTGAAACTCCTCGCTGCGTTGCTCCCTTTTTCCACGATACGCAGTGTTTGGGTGAGTTGTGATGTGCGGATGCTTCCACGAGCTGACCCTGGCCTGTCACCATATCGGTGTACAGAAGCGGATGATAATTAGAGCTTTGTCAGTTATTACCTTCTCGGTAAACTTAGGTGGCGATGTAGGATTTATTAAGACAAAGGGATTTATCCGAGCGGTCGATAAGCACTGACTTGGGCAAGCATTTGGTGAAAATAGCAGCCTCAGTGTTAATCGCAAAAGAGAAAACATCTTCTAAGCTTTTCATCGTGTTTCTCTGCAAAGATTGATCATTAGTGAGATCTCCTGTGTCCCCGCACACGACTAACGGTAAGCTCCTACCTCTGTCGCAGGCACTGTACAAGGGAAGGTAAAGGTGTGAGTTCTGAGTTGAAGCATAGAGCGCTATCGATTTAACATTAATTGTTCACAAAACAGACTCAATGTGAGGTGCAAATAAAGAAAGAAATGGTGGCTCCAACTGCAAAAGGAAAAAGTATTTCGAAGCATGGGCGGCTGTGAACAGCGCTCCATCTCTGATCATGCACCGAAGGATTCTGTAGGCAGAAAGACTCGGAACAGTTTGGGTTGGCCGGGAGGAGGGCGCCGAGCATCCTTCACATGCAGGACCGCTGTGGGCCCCTCGCCTGTTCTTCCAAGACCTTTTCCTTCCAAGCCACTTGGGCGCAGAGGATGAGGGTGCCCGACTGGCTCTGGCATGGTTCATCCTTCACGGGACTGAAGCTGTGTGATGAAAGAACCACCAACCTAGGGGCAAATGGTCCCATTTACCACAGAAACTCACAGGGAGATCTCAGTCTTTGTGGGCTGTGATTCTTCCTGACAGAGATGTGTGGGGTGGTATCGGTGGTCGGCCAGAAGCCAAAGCATTATTCACTGTGAACGATCCTTCCTCATCTGTTCTGAAGCCAATTAAACAACTCACAGCCCAAAAGAAGGGTTGGGCACATGGTGCCATTTCTTGGTGTTTAGTAAATTGAGTCTGGCATCAAATCTGCCCATAAGTTTGCAGTGAATCATTTGCTTCCCTGCTCTACACGGAGCCTCGTTGTCCAAGTAGACGAGGCTGTCTGTCAGCCGTTCACTCCTGCCTTCTTACCAATCGTGCTTAGAGCCAGAGAAACAAGACGTCCTGGTCTGTCCATCAGATCAATTCGTCAGAAATAGTTCTGAGGATAAAAGGGAAATAACTCTGGAGGTCCCCAGTTGAAACAAGCTAGTCCACACTGCCATGGGCAAGACCGAATGCTTTATAATAGCTAGTTCATGCTTTGGGAAGTAAATAACATTCTAATTTTGAAAAATATCATTCCCTGAAGGTTTTTAAGAGACCTGAGAAACAGGCGATATATCCTAAATCTAATTAAAAAATCCTGTACTAAAATGTTCCTGCTTTCTTTCATGCTGTTTTCTAAGTACTGCATGGTAAATCTGTAATATCCAACGTCTTCTACAGCTTAGGGTCAGAACCAGATGATCTTTAAGGTCCCTTCCAACCCAAACCATTCTATGATAAAAGGAAAAATTCAAACTCAGAATTATAAAGCAGGGAAGGGATAAAGATGGTAATATATCTGTGATTATCTGTGTTCCATCTGCTTAACATTAAGGTCTTGCTTCATCCTTCCTGTAGAGAGGAGTGGTAAGTTCTGTAGGTCTTACTCAATTTCTGTGCTTAGATCCATGTCTTTCAATATCTGTGTGAGCGCTGCTCAGGGTTTTCTTGTTAGATGAACCTGTGCTGCTCTTGGGGAGACACAGGTGTGGGTGGTGGGGCGTTGGAAACGCCGTCTTCACGGACGGATCGGTGCATTGAGGACTAAGCTAACCCTCTGCACGCCTGTCGTGGAGTAGCTAGCTCGGATGCCCACGAGTCTGGCAATTCTCAGGGAGGCCTGTGCGTAGTCTTTAAAGGAAAGGAGTGGTTGCTTTTCTCTGAATTTGATTTTGATCCCCACCACGTGCAATTGTATGGGAAACAGAAGGGATGAACTTTCTTGCGAAGTGGGGAGGCTCTCTGCAGTAAGAAAGGAAAACAAAGTTGTGAGAGCTCAAACATTGATGGCTTTGAGGTAGCCAGGAGCCACAGGATGCTGGTGTGCAAAGTCTCATTTTCTGTTGTAAATGCTAAACTGCTCATTTTAGCGTTCTGCAGGACGGGATTGATGAGGTGGAGGAATGGTACTAAAAGGATGCTACACTCCTTCCTGGGGCTGCCGCAGCTGAAATAACCTGATACGTTATGGCTTTACATTTAATGGTGCCTTTTCTTTTTTCTACAGTCATAGTCCTTTCAGACAGCACAAAACCAAAGACAAGCATGAGATTGACCGGATGACGCTCACCGTGGTAAGGGGCCTGCTGGCGGTCGCGGTTCCATCCCTCCTGTTGAGTGAACTCCTGTTTTCTCCGAAAACGGGAACCCTGTAGCCTGCTTTCTGAGAAAGCTCCGTTTGCACATGGAGGAGCTGTTTACAAAGAAAAGCTGCTCTCCTGTGCGGGGACAGCAGCTCACACTACTTCTGTAATTAAATGTCTCTTTTTGCACTTCTTTCTTTCATAGAATGTGGAGCTACCAGATTCGTTTTCTCCTGAACTGAAGTCCCTCTTGGAAGGGCTCCTGCAACGGGACGTTAGCAAGAGACTTGGATGCCAAGGAAGAAGGTGGGTGCTGTCTCCTCCTTGGACCACTGCCTTGAAAAATTTCCACTTCTCTGTAAATGAATGAATTCGTTTCAAATAAAAAAATCTGCTTCCTGTTGTGATGATTTTCATTTTGGAAAGAGAACTTCTAAAAGTGCTGTTGCATGGGATTACGTTTCAGTTTCCTTTGGTTTGGACAAATTTTTGGACCATTTCTGTCATTAAAGACTTCCCCCGAGTTCTCTGCAGTCGTGCTCACATTGGATGGCGTTCACAGTGTTCATCCCTGTGGTGTTTTTCTGGTTTTGCCTGATCTGTTTTGGCATGAGGTCATGTTCCTTGATTCAGACATATCGATAGCTAAAATGTATTGCTCATATTGTAGCTGTAATAATATGAGCATGTTACACACACACAAAAAATGACCCCCCAAGCCCCCAGGCACAGGAAGCTGTGAATACTGGCTTCATTTTGGGTTGCCTCTGTTTCCAGCTGTACGTGTTTCATTCCATGATTGTAAGGAAACCGGCATTTTTTTTCTTGTTTATTGCCTACAAATGGCTGCATGCTCCTGCCCCGCTTCCCTTGCTTAGAGCTGTTAGCTGGAGTTGTTGTTGTTACCGACTGAAAAGGCCGGTGTGTGCCTTGCGTGAGCCTGGGAGAGAAAATGCTGAGAGGAGTAAATAACTGTTGAGAAACCGGTGGTGATGGGTGATGCCTGTTGGTTGAGAGTCGCACCCGAGACCGGGGCTGGCACCAATTCCAGTGAGATATTCAGCAGGGTTTTGTCATGGAGCCCTCTGATAAGGACCTGAGATTGCTTTTCAGCCTCGGGCCTCGCAGGAGTAGTTGCTTATTTTGCCATGAAATATATGTAATATCAAATGGAGTTTGATACTAAGAGGAGCGTGGCCAGCAGGGCGAGGGAGGTTCTCCTCCCCCTCTACTCTGCCCTGGTGAGACCCCACCTGGAGCTCTGTGTCCAGTTCTGGGCTCCCCGATTCAAGACAGATGAGGAATTCCTGGAGAGAGTCCAGAGGAGGGCAACAAGGATGATGGGGGGACTGGAGCATCTCCCCTAGGAGGAAAGGCTGAGGGAGCTGGGCTTGTTCAGCCTGGAGAAGAGAAGGCTGAGAGGGGATCTCATCAACACGGACAAATATCTCAAGGGTGGGGGTCATGAGGATGGAGCCAGACTCTTC